CAGATCTCATTATAGATGGCTGTGAGCCACCATGTGGTTGCTGGGAATTGAACTCAGGACCTCTGGAAGAGCAGTCAGTGCTCTTAACCACTGAGCCAGCTCTCCAGCCTGGGCATTGTATTCTTAAATTTACTTCCTTTTGTCTGGGTGGTGACTGTATCTTTAAGGGATAGTGGTTTAAAAAATTGAGTTACTTGTGAAGTCCTGGGGGAGATAGCTGTATCATTTGTTGTTCAGTCTCTGCGGGACGGGAAAGTGCAGTGCTTGTCTCAAGTCCTGGCTAGAATAGTCTGTTAGACTGGATCATCTTAGCTGGACGCCTTGAAATTGTTCTGAGCAGTTTGTAGTCCCAAACTGATCTTTTGGTGGTGTTTCTCAGCTGAGTGGTATTGTCGTAGTCCTGGCGGAATCGCTGTCATGGCAATTGTGTGATTGCCAAATCACTTTTTCGGAACTCAATACAGATGCCGATTGAGAACCTGAATAGGTATCAATGGTGCGATGTACAGATTTTAGTTCTGTAAATACTAAAAAATGGAACACATCCATTGGTCAGATTTCATTCCTCTGAGTGCCCTTTGGGTTACTTCCTGCAGGTAGTGGTGTTTGGTTCTATAAAGAACAAGCAGGACATTTCCTTAAAATGTCCTTGTTGATGTCACATGATGGAAAAGTCTTTTTTTAAACCTTTGACATGACACTTTTTATGAAATGCTGAGGCCTCCAGCTCATTTTCAAATAACTGATTGATTTCTGCCTTATCTTGTGTTCAAGAACATAGTAGACACATATGAAATCAACTGTATGTTACATATAGGGAATGACTGCTATTCATGATGTATCTTGTAACTGAATAAATAATAAAGTCAATTCAGTATTGTCTGGTATAGATTTGTAAATGTAAAGGTTTGCCAAAATACTTGCTTTATGCTTCCTCCTGAATTTTTTGTTCTCTCTTCTATAGCTGTTCTGTTATTCAGAGCAGTATGGTTTCTTACAACAGGCATTAATTTCTGTAACTGCTCTGTGAAGGAGTTTCCTCTACAATGGCAGGAAATGACTGAACCAGATATACCATAAGGGTCTGCAAGAGGCCCCTCACGGAGTTTCCCAAAGGCAAAGGGTCACCTTGAATAACCCTGAATAACCTTGAATAACTGTGTTGACCTACACTCATTAGTCCAATGCCTGCATTTGCCACACCTTCTGCATAATCCAGAAGGAAGGGGCATTCTGAATGGATTATGCTTAGAGAAAAAACATTTTTTAAGGAATGTCCTGTTTACACTCCCTTTTAAGGTGACCTTTGCCACAATCAAAACACACGGCATTTCAATTTTTCTTCAAACCTCTGGAAATCAATTTTCCTATCCATGTATCATCATGGTCATAAGATTTAACATTAATTGTATTTTGGATCCATTTTTTCAAAAGTTCTGACCTTGCCTTTGATGATCTAATTATTCTTTTGCATTGAGAATTAGCACTTTCAAAAGTCAAAGATTCAATTATTACTTGTCTAGCTTCTGAATTTGGTATCATTCTATTTACTGCTGAAATCAATTTTTTTTAAGATTTATTTATTTATTATGTATACAACATTATGCCTCAATGTATGCCCGCACGCCAGAGGAGGGCGCTAGATCTCAGTACAGATGGTTGTGAGCCACCATGTGGTTGCTGGGAATTGAACTCAGGACCTCTGGAAGAGCAGCCAGTGCTCTTAACCTCTGAGCCATCTCTCCAGCCCCCTGAAATCAATTTTTGTAAAAATCCATAGAGGCTTCGTTTGGGCTTTGTATAACTTTAATAAATGACACAATTTTTTTCTCCCATTTCTCCCATTCTGTCTCAAACATTCAAAGCTGCTGCATGGCGTAAATCCAGGGTGTGGTCGTCACATACAGTTGCCTTCTGTAGTGGCATAGTTCCTGTCTTCATGAATTTGATCTTGGAAGATTTCCCTACCTCTATCTTTACTCCATTAATCAATAATCTTAGCTCCTGTCAGCACCAATCTACTTCAAGAGGAAGATGGGCATGGAAGAGGCTCCTTATGGAGTTTGTTAGCCATTTGGGCAAGAAGCTGCTCTTGCCTGGACTGCTTGATGAACTGGACATGCGGGACCCTCAGAGAAATGACTGCTGAATTTGCCTAAAGGTGAGATGATCCTTCGTGGTTCCTGCTTCATGAAAGAGTCTGCCAGACATTTTGCAGGACACACAGAAAAATTTGACTGACAAACTGCCAATATAGGCAGGACTGTCTTTGAAATTTCCTGCTTCATGAAAAAGTATGCTGGATATTATGGGCCTGTAGGCTGGAAATGGATGCCCCAACGGTACAGAAGAACTCTGGATGACCTGAGTAGGGGCAGAGGGGACAGGGACTCCCAGAATCACCTTTGAGTGAGTGGTGGGTTGTTGGGATGTTGTCTTCACAGTAATTGTTCATGACTCTTGTTCTGTAGTGTGAAGACAGCTGCCTGGTGTGGATGGAGTGACAGACGATGTGTTCATGTCTCTCCTGTGACATCCAGAGCCCTCAGTTCACTCTCAGCAATAGTGTCTGATGTTCCCTGTGATCCCATGGGCTCAATGTGAAGAACTGGGGAGCCCAGCCCACCCCGCATACCAGGACCCCGTTCCTGCACTGCCCTGTTCCCTTCTACAGCCAACCTTCCTGTTCCTGCAGACAGGAGGGGACATCTCCATCCTGTCTCCTCCATGCTGCCCTGAGCTGCAGCCCTGACTTCCCCACTGAAATTAAGAATCTGAATGTTGCCAGGTGGTGATGGCGCACACCTTTAATCCCAGCAGAGGCAGCAGAGGCAGGTGGATCTCTGTGAGTTCGAGGCCAGCATGGTCTACAGAGTTCCAAGACAGCCTGGGATATATAGAGAAACCCTATATTGAAAGCACCAANAAAAAAAAAAAAAAAAAAAAAAAAAAGGAGGAGGAGGAGGAAAGGAAAGGAAAGACTGTGAATGTGAACTTGACCTGAGGCATTGATGGTTTGTACATTAAAGGGGAGAATATTGCTGTTTTGTGGCGGAAGTAAATAGCAGCGTGGAGAACCTTCCAGAATCTGTGTTCACTATGCTGTGTGCATCTGGTGGGACAGGATGAGGCTGTGGGAGCTGAGTGAGAACAGGGCTGTGCCCAGGTGGAGCTCAGTCCGTTGTTGGCTGTGACATGGTCACTCCTCAGCTCTGTCACCTCCTGGCTCTGTTCTCTTCATCACTTGAGCCTCATGCTGACATCTGTGATCACAGAGCCACTGGGATGGCCAGAGCCTCGTCCTGTCAAAGCTGCTGTGACAGGTCAACCTGGGGTCAGTCCTAGCTGTGACTCTTTCCCCTGTCTTCTGTGTTTAATTCTTGTCTTTTTAGTTAGTATGGAGGACTAGGCCTGTTCTTGTGCCTGTCTCATTCTCCTTCGGGGTCCCTGAGTGTTTTCCATCCCTGTCCTATCAAGGCCCAACTAGGCCCCTGCACTCAGGAGACTGTGGGATGAGAACATGAGCTTCAGTCTCCTGAGCTCCTGCCTCCCTTCAGGCCCCTCCCTGGAGGTTCTCTCCTTCTTTCCCATCTTTCAGAATCTAACCCGGGTTATAGGATGGGCAGAGAGGAGGGATCTACAGGGTTTCTTCTTGAATCAGGT